AGCCATGCCACCACCTCAATATTCGACTGGTTTGAAATTTCTTCTGCAAGATTAATTAGTCCACCACCCCTAATCTCAATCTCAGGCAAAGTCTCTGGATATGAACAAAATGCAGAAAACTTTCTGCCAAGCCATAACACACATCATCTGGAGTCCAGCAGCCAATGCAGTCCCTCTTCCTGGCTGAAACTTCCCAAGCCCAGTCTTTACCAGCCTTCTGGTCTTCTGACCTCTGACCAGAATCTCCCATACAGAACAGCCTAAGGCATTCCAGCTCTACCTCTGTAGCTGACATCTCTGAATCTTTCCTAACTCTTCCCTTCCCCACAAGCCAGTTTCAAAGCCACGTGAGTCATATGGCCAGGAAATGTCACAGCAACAACCCCATTCCTGGAACCAAATTTCTGTGTTAGTTACTTTTCTCTTGTTCCTGAGACAAAATACCTGACACCCAAAGTTAAATGGGAAGGAGGTTTACCTGGCTGACAGTTCACAGAGTTCTCAGTCCATAGTTGGCTGGCTCCAAGACAAGGATGACAAACAGGCCTCACAGAGGAGAAACAACACAGCACACACAAGGTAGCAAATGCAACAAGAGAGCTCCACCACATTTTTCTGCCTCTTTTATCCCATCCAGACTTCTGGGATTAGGGCAGTGCTAAACCACTCACTCACTGTAGTGGTTTAATAATCACATGGCCTTAATCCCAGCATCACACATCTAGATTCAGCTACCTCTGAGCAAATGAGGCTTTGGGGAGACATCAGACTCAAACCACAAATATTCTCTGCAATTATTAGTCTGGGTGTGGTCTGACTTTTCCTCTGGGTAACTTCCTTCCAGGAAAAAAAAATCCAACTAATAAAGTATAAGACAAGCCCCACTAAATACTGAGTCTAAGGTGCTAAGCTATTGAAAGCCAATGTACTCCAACTTATTGAACATCTCTATATTAGACAATTCTAAGAACTTTTTTCTTCTGAAGGTGTTCACAAAATAGTTTTAAGGATGGGTTTACAAAAGAGACTACTGATGTGTAGCTCTGCCATTAGACAGCTACCATGCTATTATTTAATAAAATCCTCTTCCTTCATCTGTCAATGTCTATTCCTGTGGTAGAATTGTGTCAGCTTTCATCAATGTGACAAAATACATAGAAAATCAGCTTAAAGGAGGAAGGATTTATGTTAGTTCAGTGTTTCAGAGGTTTTAGTTCAGTTGCTTGGCCCTATTGCCTTTGGGCCTATGGTGAGGCAGTGCATCATGGTGAGGAATGCACTGTGAAGGAGGCACCCAGGAAACAAAAAAGGGAGAGGCCAGGGTTCCAATCCCTTCAAGGCACTCCCACAAGGATCTAAATCCTTCCAGTAGGCCCTACCTTGTAAAGTTTCCACCACTTTCCCACAATACCATAAGCCTTTTCCCTTCGGGAGACAGTCCAAATCATAACCAATATCAGTAACTTTTTCTGTTTTTAATAAATTCCTTTATCATCAAATGTAATTTAAAATATTTTTTTATTTTTCTTTGCACCACTTTAACATTATAGTAATTTTGCTGTGGAAAATAAAATTCTGCCTTGCAGGAAAGAGAAAATCCCTCAAAACCATGGACTGATGTCTTTATTTACATATTAGAGCGGGTGAGCCAGTGAAAATCCTACAGAAAGAAAAGACAATATTTAGTCAGAAGAAACAACTGTCTCATCCTAAATCCTCACTGTTTTGCTTATTCTAAAATTTAAAAGTCCAATACAATGGTGGTAAAATGAGGTTTGCCTTTGGTCTAGTGCTTTTCCTTAAAAAAAGAGCTAAAAATTCACTAGTGAACCTTGTTCTAAAATTAACCAAAAATGGTTTTCTGGGTACCCTTCCACCAGGGTAATCTGGACATGCACATATGTGCATGTGCGTGTGTGCGCACACACACACACACACACACACACACACACACTCACACAAAGTCTGAAAGAACCAGAGATACTTTACATTGAAAAGGAGAGGGGATAAAGCAGGCCCACAGAGGGCTAAGCTCCTAGATCTGAGAAGAACATGTATGAGAAGAACTATGCATTATCTGTGCCTTTTTCAGGACTAATAGCATCCTACACTTGTGGCCCTGATACAGGCTCTTGCAGAGAATTAACAGTATCTGTATTAAAGCAAGAAGTAGCCAGTCCATATCATGAATCAAAAGCAAAAGGCTGATAGTCAATGAAAAACAATAGCTTGGAAACTATAATATGTATAGAACTCCACTGGAATGAAGATAAATGATGTTGAAGTGATTAAATGCAAGAGATATAAGGATAATCCTTGCAGAATTATAAAAGAGGAGGGAAAGACCTTATATTTCTCCAGAAATACTCAAACAAAATTCTTAGAGAAACAGCAAACAATCACTGGGGGCAGATCATTAGAACAGAGAACTCATTGGCAGAGAGAGGGCAACGCATGGGGCTGTTCTGTGACCAACACAGGTCTCAAGACTTTAAATTATAGTATTTATCAAGGTTCTGACAGTGCTTTTTTGTTTTGTTTTTGAGGCAAAACATTTATTGGTACATTTTAGATATACATAATGATAACATTCACCATAGGATTTGATAGTGCTTGTAGTTTCCTTAGTACTCTGATACCCTCATGCCAGGAAGAGGGCATCCTGGATTACAAAACTAATAACCATTCACTAGAAAGTTTACACACAGTTATAAATTAACAAAATGACATGAGATTTACAAGCCTGTTCATTGGTTACCTGGCAAAAGTCATTTCAACAAATAAAGCTTTAGAAAGGGAAAGACAAGGGGCAGGGTATAGCTCAGAGGCAGAGCATGTGCTTAGCATGAGCAGGAGTTCAACCCTCAGTACAAAAAAAGAAAAGGCAAGCAAAAAGCTCACAGCTACACAGAATAGCTTTCAAATGTTGCTACCCCTATTTTAAATCAGGCTGCCCGTTTGCTCCACAGAGATCCTTGCTAATGCCACCTGCGCATCTCCTTTCTGGAGTAGTCCTTCTGCATCCATCCTGCCCTTCACCAAGGTTCACCTTCAGTATCCCTTCTCTCAGTTATGACATGAATTTCAAAGTCTCTGATCTCTATTTTTACACAACAGAACTTAAGAGGATTTTATATATTCTGCAGCTTCCAAATTAGTTATTCTATATTTTATTGATTGTCTAGGTGTCTGTTCATTCCCTGCCTTGTTAAAAAAAAAAAAAAAGATTCCACAGTGGAATCATGTCTAAGAACCAAGACAGGAAGCATGAAGACTATCTGCTCTGGAGTGGCTGACATGCACGGTAGAAGCATGGAGGACAGGAATATAAAAGGGGGTGGGTGGTAAGAACCAGAGTACAAAATTAGGCATGAAAAGGGCTGGGGATTTAGCTCAGGGAGATGGAGCCTGCCTCAAAACAAAAGATCCTGAGTTCAATCCCTGGTGCTCAAAAAAAAAAAAAAGAACATTTAAAACCTTGGGCTGGGGATTTAGCTCAGTGGTTTTGCCACCTGCTGCACAAGCGCAAGGACCTGAGTTCGATTCCCGGTACCAAAAAAAAAAATTAAGCATGAAAAGCAACTTAATCTGGGGTGGGAGAAGATCATGCAGCATACTTCATCACTTATTTTACTGCTGTGATCTACAGTGTAGCTTTGGATCAGAGGTCAAAGTGACTCATATTGGCTATAACTGCACCAGTTGACCTGTTACAGTCTCATCTCCCACTGTGCTCCCTACATTCTGTCTTCCAGCCACTCCAGCCTCTTTCAGTTCCTCAGACTTGGCTGGCTTCCTCTTGCTACAGAGCCGTTGCACATCTCCTGCTCTCCTCTTTGCCAAGTTGCTCCCATTCATCCTTCAGATCTCAGTTTAACCATCACTTCCTCTGAGAGGCCTTCCCTGCAAGCCCAATATAACTTGGACTCCTTTGCTGTATGTTTGCTTATAAACGGGTCCCCTTCCTTACAAGCAGTTATCTTACTCTGTTATGCAGCTCAGTTGGGAGGTTACTATACTGTCCCTCCCCCTACTGAACTCTAAGCTCCATGGAGGTGAGGACTGAGCCTGGTTTTGCTCTGCAGTCTAACCCTAATACAGTATATCTAACACTATCTCAGCAAATATTCATTGAACAAGCAAATGAAATTGCCAAACTCAGAAATGATTTAGAAAGAACTCTGTGGTCACAAGGGTTTTCCTTTCTAGAGGAAGATGAGGAATGCTCAGTAACTGCATTTACCTGGGCCTTTCGTGTGCTTTGTGGCTCAATCATGATATTGATAAGAGAAGGTTTAGTTGTGTCTTCCAAGGTCTGCTTCAGGGATTTTTGGAGTTCTTCTGGTGTTTGTACAAAATATCCTTTGCCTCCAAATGCAGTCATGACCTGCTCATAATGTGAGTTTGGCAGGAGACACATTGGAGGGGCCCTGAAAAAGAAGGTTCTAAGTCAATGCAATTTAAATTTTAAAACTTTTAGAAAAAAGTCATTCTCTGAAATAATTTGTGAAAAAATTTATGAGCTAGATAATAGTAACTGGTACTGTGCATGGCCTTGAAATATCTCTCCATTTATTCAGGCCACAGAAGAATTGAACTAGGAATGAATATTTGACCGGAGCTGAGCCAGTAAGATCTTCTTGCCTCAGGCAGCTTAACGTCACCACACTCTTCTGCCATGATGTTTCTGCCTTGGAGCTAGCTGACCATGGACTGAATCCCATGAAACTCTTTCCTAGGCTCAGCTGTGTACACTGGAGAAGTAGAGTGTTGAAGGTCTGTGAGAATAGCACATTTCATATAAAAAGAAGTCATAAGTAAAAGTGCCCGCTGCAGACAGGCAGGTCTGCGCACACCCTACTGTCACGAGCTGTGCAGAACACGCCGAATCAGCCCGTGGCCCGGCAACAATCCACTGGACACCCCCCCACACACACCGCGCTCCTCTGTACAGCCACCTGGTTCCACAATACAAAGAAGCAGAGGACACCGGAACACCAGATCATGTTACTGAGTCCCGCTGCTCCCGACCCAGAGGTAGGGGTTTCTGAGCCACCGTCCCACTGTTCCTGGTCCAGAGGAAGGGGCTTCCCGGCCACCATCCCTCCTGCTGCTGCTCCCAGCCCAGAGGAAAGGGCTTTTGGGCCACTATCCCTACCGCTGCTCCTGGCCCACCTCTCCCAGCTCAGAGGAGGTAATCCATGCAGGCCCCAACAGGCCCCACCTCCTGTCAAAATGAGAAAACACGTAAACAAGTTTCAAAACCAGACTTCCAGATCACCTACAGCAACCCCAAAGGGAAATGAGATGGAACACTCTGATACTCAACCTGGACCCACTGAACTGGCAACAAAAGGGGATCTGGAAAAAA